CATCATCCCCAATCAACAGACAGTCTTGGTTATGATCTTCAGGCCCCAGGGCATGCGCCTGTGGGTGATCATGTCACATCGAGCCAGGAAGCTCTTGTGTAGTCTAACTCAGGTGTCGTGTTCAGAGCAACGAGCAACCTCAGTCTCTGACAAAGCCCAACCCATCATCTGCTTCAAATACAATTTCTTATGTCAGAAACCCACAGGGAGAGAATTATTAACATAACCACAAAGACATTTCCTGAGTCTGGCAGAACAAGCACGGCTTCTTTAAAGGTTGGCATTATATTTTTCCTAGCCTGAGTCACTTAGAATATGCCAAGAAACTCTATGTATATTTCAATTAAAAGAAAAAAACATTTCCGGGTGAACATACATAAAGCATACAGCAAATGAATGCAGTATATAAGCAAATGAGAGTCATATTGTATACATTTGATACCGGCTCCACTGCTAGTATTCAGTATGTAGACATCACAAAGGGTAGGCAGGTCTCATCTCTATGAAGCATGGTATTGAGGGATATTCACTTCAACATGAGTGTAACGCGATACTTAGACATTTACTTATGTGTTATGTTTGGTTTTATCGTGCACGTTGCAGTCTATATATGCGACTATGGATGCCGGTTTGCCCTAGCTATACGCCGACGAACAGTTACATATTTAGGTACTGAAAGAAATAGGAATATACGGAGTACAGCCAATATATTAGCCAGTACTGCCAGAATTCCTAGTAACTAACAGTATGTATCAGCTCATCTGTAAGTCAATGATATAACATGGTGAGTCTTAGGATGAATCAAGATTAGGCTAGCTCTATGTAACGTCCTCCAAGCTAAAGTAGGGATGGCCTGTAGAGAACTTGGGGTCAGTATATTGTCCCTCTGCAATCAAGTGAAACGCAGATGTCAGACATATCTACGCCACGGCCCACAAGGCCACGTCACGTACACCATAAATCTTTGATTAAGTCGTTACCAACAGTGGTAGACCTGACCTCAAATGATTCTATACTGCGCTTTCCCATCATCTTGATCTACAGGGTTCCATCTCAACGGACCCAGTCTAAACTGGCGTCAAAGCATCGCCTACATGGTGATTGCCCCACGAAGCTGGGATCAGATTAGGTCTTGCTGGAATCGAAGCTTCGGAAGGAACCAAGTCCCATTCCAATATCACATCAAGCGAAAGTGAGCCAATCAGAGGAGACAGAAAGCATATTCTGAACAAGTATCAAACCCTTTGATGAGCAGAGAGCCATTACTTCATGAACACGACCTGGCTCGAAGGCGCCGCTGCAAAGTCCACAGAAAGTGTGTGCTGCTGTTATGCAAGCTATTGCCGATTCATCTAGGACTTTATCTAGCTGCTGCTGGTTTGTGGTTAGTTAAAGCTAGCAATTCTTAGAAAACAAAGAAAAGAGGCAGAACAGTTCTTGAACTTTACTGGATGCCGCCACGAGGGGGAATTATTTGTGAGTTGTCTGGCTCTATTTCACGAAACTGGAGGTTGAAACGAGAAATAATTCATTTCTGATTCAAACTACTATTAGTTAATAGCTTTTAAGCACTTAGAAAAGAACTTGTGTTAGAGAAAGGCGTTGATAAC